GACAGCGTGAGCAGGGGAGGGCCAGAGAGAGAGGGTGTCACAGACTGAAACAGGCTCCAGGCTCCGAGCTGGCAGTCAGCACAGAGCCCGACGCGGGGCTCGAACCCACGAACCGCGAGATCATGACCTAAGCGAAAGTCGGACGCTTAACCGACTAAGCCACCTAGGCGCCCCTAGTGGTCTTTTAAAACATTGTCTCTTCTATGAAGTTTCTTGTCCAACTGGTTGGAATTACCTTTTCTATCCATGATCTGAACTTCAAAATTCCTTGCCTTGGAGATGAAAGGACACTGCATCATCTGTACTTTCTCTGGCTATTCATGACTCATTGGATAAATTTCAAACCCTCCACATAATATATAAGACGTTTCCTACTTTGGCCCCCTGCTTATCTCTCCTACTTTCTTTCCTTTGCTCACTCAATTCTAGGCCACATGAACCTCCTTGTTTTCCTGGGATAGAACACATTCTTTTACATCTCAGAGTGTTTACACCTGCTGTTTCTTCTGCTTGGAATGGCATTATTCACTTGTTTCACTTTTTCTCATTTTTCATACAGCCTTCAAAGGTTACTTCTTGTGAGAGGCTTCCTTCACTTATCCAAGCCTGGCGGATTATGTTATATGTTCTCCCAGCATTCTGGGCTTCCCTCTTTATTGTCATATTTACATAACTGTTTAATAGCTACTTTCTACCACACTGCAAGTGTCAAGAAGGCAAGCATTGTATGTATCTTGTTCATCTCTGTATCCTAAGTGCCTTGCACCATGTCTGATACTTAGAAAACATTCAACATATATTTGTTCAATGAAAAAATCTAGTTAAACCTCATTACAGAGATGAAAATATGGGGACCCACAGAGGGAGAGGGGTTTACTCAAGTTCACACAGAAAATCAGTGACAGAGAAAAAAAAAAACAGAGACCAGGACTCCTAACCTCTGGTGAAGTGCTCTTTGCCATTCATGCACTCCACTAGAGTACTTGTTACTTATACATGCTTATGTATCAGTCTGGCTCATAGACGAGGCTGTGAATTCCTTGAGAGTAGGGACCACAACTTCCACATGTGCTGTCCAATTGGCTACTAGCTATATATGTCAGTTGAACACTGGAAAACATGGTTAGTTCATGGGTAAAATGCACACTACATTTCAAAGAATGTAAAACATCTCAACAAACTTTTACATCGCTTACAAGTTAAGATAACATTTTAGATGCATTGGGTTAAATAAAATATATTATCAAAATTACCTTCATCTATTTATTTTTCAAATTTTAATACAGCTATTAGAAAAATGGTAGCTCACATTACATTCTATTAGATATATATTACTGGTTATATATTTATTTTCCCCATGGTAGTAAGCATAGAGCTTTGTAGTCAGTAAGCGCTCAACACACCCTTGTTGAATAAAGTTGAACTGTAGTTGGTAGGTTAATTGCTGCCACTTCTCTTGTCAGTGTCACTGGGCTTGTGGGGAACATTACAGTAAATCTTTTGTCCCCAGACCTAGGTGTATGTACATAAAGTTTTTCAGTCTTGGCTTGGAGGTGCCTTAAAAACTGCATCAGCCTTTTGTTTCCTTTCAAAGGAAGTCCCAGTGCAATCATATGCACAGCAATCACCAGGGTCAAGTTGGATTGTGTAGACACTGGGCTCTTGCACAGGAAGTGGCCTCAGCTTTGCAATTGTTCTTGGGGCCTTTTCTTGACAGGTTTCCAATAGGGCAAGTGAGCAGAGAGAGAAACTGGAAGTCAAGGGGAGGCCTTCTCAGTTCCTTCATGGAGGTGAGACAAGCTAATGAGTGTGGGGAACTTGGGCTATGAGGATTCCTTCTTTTGCTAATGCAATGATACATTCATTTATTCAACTTGAAATTCCTGGGAAACTATTTCATGTCTGGCCTTGTGAAGAAAATAAGGGACCAAACATGATTCCTACTTTAGGAGGTTCTTGGTTTCCTGGAAGAGACAGATACATAAGGTAGTATGGACAAGTTTTGGACACTAGAGACAAGCAAAGCAGGGAGTAATTATTTTTCACTGGGAGAAGAGTGGTCATAGAAGTCCATAGAGACAATGAGCATCATTATTTTCTCTCTCCATCTTTTAACATCTAGCTAAAATACTACTTTTCTAAGAGTTACCTTCTTGCCCCTGCCCTGGAACAATTACAACTTTCTTACCCAGTCTTCTGATAGCACTTGTACCTTTGTCTAATTGCTTATACTGAAGAAAGACATGGTTCCTTGGGTGCATGCTTGTCCCCAAATCCCTCTATAGTATGTGATAACTAAGGCTCAGACAAGCTGTGCATAATTTTTCAAGGACATATATGAGTTATAGAGGTGGGCCTATAACTCAGGGGTTAAAACCTATAGTCCAAAATCAAAGACATTAATTTAAAATTCAGTTGTTCTTCCCATTCCAGCACTGAGTGCATAAATGAATGTGTCTACAGTGTGGGACTCCAGCACTGACTAACAGCTTTCCCCACCCAACTCCCTTCTCCCTCATCCTCCTTCGTAGACTTAGCCAAGTCAAAAAGCATCCAAAATGAGAGAACTGTGTATCTTTAGGTTGCACAACAGACTTAAAGGAAAAGCCCCCTTTGTACTGTTGCTGCAAAGTTGGCCCTACTCAGCATGCTTTGTGCTTGTGAGGTAAAGAGGGACTCCAAGGATCCCAATGCCTTTTATTTCAGGTCTTCTGCATAGATGGCATGATTTTCAGGTCCTCATGGTTTCTAATGCTCTCTTCTATTGACGTACTGCATGGCTCTAAGGGGCACTATTAATTACTATTTTATGTAAAGACATTGTTTCCAGAAAGCCCATGTTAAAAACAAACAAACAAACAAAAATCCAGCAAAAAAACAGAATACTTTAAGTGATAGGTGAGGAAAAAAGGAGTGGACAGATGAACTTACTCAATCTCTATGGAGTGAGTAGAAAGAGGGAGTCCCCCCTAGGAAAGTGCCCACAGGACAACCTTAACTCCACCCAAAGCTTTAGTCAGAAACCAAAAATAAAAAGGAATTGAATCTTTCTAGAAGCCATATCTGGGGAAATTGGTCTCATTAACTAAGCCAATAAATTTTTCTGGTAGAAGAAAGTTTTTGCAGACTAGTGTGACTGCAAGTGAATCTCTATCCCAAGCTGTCTCTTCAGCCTCTAGGCCCTGAAACCACAAGGAAGTACACAGTGAGGGAGGGTCATGGATAGAGAGGTTTATAAGGAATCCAGGGAATATTTGATTACTGAGCCAATAATATAATCTAGTCCAACTTCTGTTTAAATGGAAAACCAAAGCTAAGGGAGGAAACACAGCTGACAAATCTAGGACTGGGGCACAAGACTCCTGCCTCCAATCATATGGTCTTTTCTCTTGAACTTGAATTTATAAGACTGTATGTAGCTTGGGTAGATTATTCACCATGGTTTGAGCATGGTCCAGGGTACTACTTCTACTATGTAGACTAAGGACTGGGACTTAAGCACTGCAATATTGAAGGCAATCACAAGTATACCCTAAAGGAATTGAAGAAATTGTCTCTCTCTTCTGCCACACCATCAGGATTCATGACATAGAACACTGAATAATGGGAATACAGTGTCTTCTGGGCTATAAATGGGGACTGCCCAAAGATTGCAAACATGTGGCACAAGGAGGTCACTCACTTTCTTCTCACACTTTTCATGTCCTTCATGAAGCCTGAAAGTCACAATTGAACTTAAGGATCTGGCACCATATTTTCCTTCTCAAGGCCAACTACTTTTTTCTCTCCTTGTAGCCAATGTGGGAGAGTAGAAAAAGCCTAACTTTGGAGTCAGAAAGACCTGAATGCAAATTCTATCTTCTCTGTTATTTCTTAGTTTTGTGTTCATAGGTAAGTCACTTTACTTCTATGTGCCTCAGTTTCTTCACCTATAGATAAGGACAATAATAATACCATACCTTGGGGTTGATGACTAAATGAGATAACATATGTAAAGTACATAATTTTATTATTAATAGATGTGAATTTCTTTCTTCCTTCCTTCTGTAAGGCCCTTCATGACAAAATGTGATCTGTGGTCAGAGTTGTGCCAGTAGGGCCAGCTTCATAGACATGTGACCTGTAAAGTTTTCCAGGTCCCCATACTTAGAAAGTTCACACACTTGTCTTAATGTTCTTTTTTTTTTTTTTTTTCAAAAGTTTATTTGCTTTGGGAGAGTGAGTGGGGAAGGGTCATAGAGAGAATCCTAAGCTGCCCTGTCAGCTAGGGGCCCAATGCGAAGGTTGAACTCTCTAACCACCAGATCATGACCTGAGTTGAAGTCAGATGCTTAACTGACTGAACCACCCAGGTGCTCCAGCTTAATGTTCTACTGTCACCATCTTGAAATCCATTTTTTTTTAATAGGAGGCCACTCATTTTAATTTTGCACTAGGCCCTGCAAATTATGTAGCTGTACCAGCTGAGAAGCTGTATCAGGGGAAGTAAAAAGGATATTTCAGGACCAGAAGGCATTCTGACAGAGTGGGAGAACACATGCTTTGAAGTTGATAGAAGTGGATTTAAATTCCATATATGCCACTAATTTGCTTTTTGATATCAGATATTTTCTTTCATCCCTTAGAGGATCTGTTTCTCAATTTTGACAGTGTAGATTTTCATTTGATAATGCCTCAACTCTGACATTCCAGAATTCCCACATTAACTCTAGGGAAAACTCCCTGACCCATAGGTAAAGCCTAGGGTAGCCAGAGGCTTTCTGCTTCAACTCTCTGCATCTTAGAGAAAGAACTATTATCTGTTGGAGGTTAGCTACAAGTAGGCTGGGGGGTTGATGGCAGTGGGGACTGTTGCTACAGTAGTGGACCCTTTCACAACAGCACTGTTTTGTCATTTTGTACCCAGATTTCCGTTGGCTAACCTCAGCCTTATCTTCCTCATTTCTGTTTCCTCTTAAAGACATCAAGGGCCCTTCAAAACACACAACCATCCTGCTCCAGGCAAAAAGGCCAGTTACCTCTGGCCTCTGCAGTTTGGCTCATCACCAAGGAACATTTGCCTCCTCCAAGACCAAAGCATCACTCCAACAACAGGTATAATATCCATTTGCCCTCTCTGCTTGGATTCCCAAGCTGGGGGAGCTCTAAAGGTGGCTTGGACCTACCTACCCCATTCTCTTTGGACTCTCCTCAAGGATTTGGAGTCAAGGTTGGGTGAGAAGAAGGTTCCCATTGGTCTTCTATTCTGAAACTTCTAATGGTGAGAAGGGAAGATAACATTTCTTCCTCAGATTTTGTTTAGGAGATAGCCACATGGAAATGGAATGTTCTCTGGAATCACAGGTCAGGAAATTTGAATAGCAGTCTTGAATTTGCCATTTACCCACTATGTATCTTTGATAAGTCCTCTCTCCTTTCTGGGATTCATACTTTTGGCCTCTTCTGCAAAGAAGAGGAAGAGAAATATTAGATGAATAGTGTCTAGAGGCTCATTTAGTTTTTATATCCCTTATTTTTATGGTTGTCAACCCTCTGTTGAGAAAGACATAAGAAAGATGCTAAGTAAATATATCTGGGTGGGGCTGAATAGGGGATTGAACCATGCCTAAAAAAATCCTGACTGCTTCCAGTATGAGAAGAACCAACTGATTGAGAAGCAGGGCACATACTGCTGCTTTTTAGGTTACTCCTGCTAGGGTAGATAGGGGACAAATTATTTTATTTTGTGTACTATGAGAGACTAGGCGAAGAGCTTTCAGAAGTCCTTAATATCTCTATGTAGATATTCACATCTTCTTCCTATGGGTTTGGCAAGCCTTTCTCAACTGAACCTGTTTTTATTATATACACTCATTTGGAGAGGCATGCACTAGATCATCAAGAGGGGGAATTAAACCTATCCAGTTTCAGCTCAGCCACTGACTCCTTCCACTTAATACTAAGGTTACATGGTCTATAAGGCTCTTCAATTTTGAGTATACTAAGAAGGAATATTTAGCCACTTCATATTTCTCTCACTCTTTTTTCTTTTTTCTTTTTCTTTTTCTTTTTTTTTTTTTTTTTTTTGATGAAGTCAGAAAGAGCTTTCAGGAGGCTTTTAGGTCACCTCCAGTTTATCCAGGCCTTCTCAATGGAACTGTTACCCAATGAGCATAATGATAGAGAAAGGCACCAGTCCAGTTCTGTCTTGCCACCTTGAATACAAACTCCATTAATCAGCTTTCTTGGCTAGCCTCAACCCACAGCTCCAAGGACTTAGCCATGGTGCCTGTGAACTCCTATATGGGAAGCTCTGAAAAGCTCAGAAAACTTTCCTAACAATTCTGCCAGGTAAGTCTTCTTGTTCTCATTTCCAGAAAAGACAACTGAAGCACAAAGAAATATTTGTCCAATGCTATGATTGGCTACCTGGTACTCAAGGCAGCATTAGGATCCAAGTTTGTCTGATTTTTCCCACTATACCATATATGGTGACCAAGATTGTTGCTTTCGCTGCTATGGGTGGCTTGGGATGAATTGAGTAAGTATGAGAAATGAGGGGGTGGAGAAAATTGTTTATAGACTTATATTTGAAGCCACTCTTATATTTCAAATTGGAAAAGCATGTCACCCCCTCATCAACGTATATTAAACTAAGAGAGTTAAGATTTTTAAAAAAAATATTGTTGTTCCTAAAATACAAGTCCCTCTTCCTTGTCTTAGTTCAGACAGGGCCTTATGGCCTCATGGGGTACTTTTTTAAATTCCTGACAGTCTTGTAATGTTTGCCACTTGTCATACCAGTATTTAATACGAGCCAGATGATACTTTCTCATAGATCAATTGCCACAGCTGGGATGGTGAAGCATTTAACACAGACAACCTGGATGTTTAATGAACAAGATCTGGGTGTTGCCAAGGCCCTTCCCCTGGAAGTTCCAGGCCTGACCATGATCCTGGCATCTTCTTTATTTCCCTAATGGCTGTGGGTTGAAAGATCCCAATACTTCACTGCCACATCTACTGCTAGTCTTTTGCCATCCTTGTGGATGTGTCTCCCTTTTCTCAGAGAGAGAGATATACAGAGCAGAGAGGTAAAAGAAACAATGAGGAAAGTTGAAAGACACAATGAGGTGATATACGACACAGCCCTAAACTACGAACAACTTGTATAACCTTTAGCTACTCTCTTCTTCACTATGAGTCTTCATTTCCTTATTTATAATATGAGTGGGTAAGACTAAATGACGGTTCTTTTATAGTTTCCATTTTTTAGTCCTGATGGAACAAGTGGGGGGGGGGCATGTTAGGCAAGCTTGAAGCCGTAAAACAGTCCTGTTTCACCTGTTCTGACCCTGTTAAATCAGTTGTCACTGGTATTTGCTTTCCTTCTTATAGCACAACCACCATTTTTTGAGTTTAAAATACTGAACTAAAGCCTTTACATACATTACCTCATGCTATTGTCACAATAACTTATTATGTAGGTACTCAAATCCATTTTGCGGACGTGAAAAACCGGAGCTCAGAGAGATGAGATAATTTTCCGAGGTTTCCCAACTACTTAATGACAGAGCTGAAATTTAAGCCCATGTTTAACCCCAAAGTTTATGTTCACAATTACAATACTGTGGGAGGGTTGGCAAATGGGGAGGGTCATGGATACTGATTTGGGGTCTAGTTCTTTCCTGAGGTCAGAGAAGCAGGACAATGACCAAATTATTTCCCTACTGCATATAGGAATCCACTGAAGCTTGGAACTCCAAGAAATGCCAAAGCTATAGCACTAAGGCCTGAGGATCCCTAGGTGAGCACTGGAGCCTTATCTGCAGTCCCAGCTGGGCTTTCCCTAAAGATCCATCTTCTGGTTGGGAGCTTTATGCCTGTTTTGCCCACTTACATATTCTGATGTTTCAGCTAGTCCTTAGCCTCTGAACTTTCTGCGGGGCTCAGGGTGTGACTCTTTTTTCTTTCTTTTCCTCCAGGGCCACATCTCCCAGGAAGACCGTGCCTCCTCACTGAAGCCCCTGACCTGGCTTCCTGCAGTGCCACACTCCGTGTATTTGACAAGCTGAGTTGGACACTCCATGTGGTAGAGTGTCAGTTTGTCAAATACCCCAAGTGCGGCATATGCCTAACAACTCCAGGCAGGGCAGTTGGGATACAACAAATAAATTGCCAGCTGAATACAGTATCACTCTCCAAACATGAACTAAGCTCATAAGTTGTTTTCAGTGACTTGAGGGAACCTAAGCATTGCATCTGAGGGAGCCAGGGGAAAAGTGAAGAAACTCTTGAAGCTACAGCTCTGGATTGTTTCTACACACATTGTCAGAGCCCAAGCGGGATATAATGGTCTTGAAAAGGTATATGGAATCCAGGGATGGAAGTGCTCTTTGATTCATATTTTATTTCTTCACATTACTCTTACAGCGTCTCCTAGCAAGGACGCCAGAATTCTCACACAAGCTTCATGACAGCTAAAATCCCACTTTCCTGACACTCAGCCTTGGCTTCTAAACACACTTTGACCTTATCTTTCTCTTCTTTCTCATGTATTTTCTCCTTCTGGTAATACTTTATCTTTTTTGTTCTTGCCTATTCAATTATTTCTCATACTTTTGGCCCAGCAAAAGTCCACTGTTTCCAAGGAGTTTGAAAGTTAATCTACACTTCTTGTTCTTCTTCATTCAAAGAACACATCGTTGCTTTGGTCTTTGTATGTACCCATTTCTTCTATAGTCCAATGACACTTCTTGAATTGTGAATAAACTTTTTCGCTGGATATTTTTTAATTTCCCACTAAATTGTGAGGATAAGACTGTGTTTTCTTGAATTGCTGTCTCCACTTTCCATCCCTACATCCAGTAACTCTGGTTACAAAAATACAATACATCTTAACTGATTGATTGATTTTCTACTAGACTTATCCTTAGCTTTTGGTCAAGATGCCATCCAGAAATTTTGTGAAAAAAATTAAACTGTGGTCACCATAATGCTATAGGGTATGTTAGGTAATAGTCAACATTGAGGGATTTTCCTTCTGAGAAATAGGGTCAAGGACTGGAGTGGGAGGGCAAAATAGGCTCAGATGGCAAATGTGTTTTGGAATTATTTGATAACTCAAAGTTATTGCAGGATTTTCAGAGCCTTTAATTTTCTAATATTGCATTGGAAATCTCAAATAGATTTACAGAATGAAGCATTTTTCATTCCTATCTAATTGTGGATTTTTTTATCTGTAGGCCATCTCTTGGTCAAAATTTGGGAAACTGCCCTAGAGGGACTTCATATCTTCTGCCTTTTTTGGCGATCTCCTTTTTTTCTCTCTTTCTTTCAGCTTTCCCTGACTTGCTATTTGCATAAGACAAATTTTATGTTATCATTTCCTGTTTGTTTAGCCTATCCTAAAGCTTTGGGATAACCCTATACCTAGGACTCTCTTACTGACTTGACTTATATGGGAAAAAAAATAGTTTTTGGGCAAAGATGATTCCTGCTGCAACGAATATATGCTCCTAAGAGTTCAGAGACCTATTTTCTTGTCTCTGCTCTATCACTGACCTAATGTGTGTGATTTTATACTGTCATGTCACTCTCTAAGCTTTATTTCCTCATATGTAATATGGGAGAATTAAAATCAATAATCTTTAAGCTTTCTAAGATAAGAGACTCTGAGATATCCTTGGTAAACCATAGCTTCTATGGGAGTAGTAGGGGAATATTCCTGGGTTTGGGAATCCATTTATTTATTTATTTACTTATTTATTTGTGTGTTTTTTAATTTTTTAAACTCTTTTTTCAATATTTGTTTTTGATAGAGAGTGAGAGCAAAAGGGGGAGGGGCAGAGAAAGGTGGGGACAAAATCTGAAGTAGGCTCCTTGCTCTCAGCACAAAGCCTGACATGGAGCCCAAGCCCACAAAACTGTAAGGTTATGCCGAGCTAAAGTTGGAAGATCAACTGGCTGAGCCTACCAGGCTCCCCATTACATACTTTTTATTTTAGAGAGAGAAAAAGCATGCACAGGTGTGGGAGAGGGACAGAAAGAGAGAGACAGAGAAATAGAGAGACAGAGAGATAGATAGAGAGAGAGAGAGAGAGAGAGAGAGAGAGAGATTCAAACAAGCTCCATGCTCAGTGAGGAACCTGACTTGAGGCTCAATCCCACAACCCTGGGACCATAAACAGAGCTGAAATCAAGAGTTGGATGCCCAACTGACTGAGCCACCCGGCACCATTGGAGATCCTTTTATTAATGCACATGCAATTATGATTCTCTTTCCAACCCCAGTCATTTTTTTTCTCTAAGCGTAGTAGGAAGAGAATAATGTTTTTTTTTTTTTTTTTTTTTTCCTGAGGCTGAGGGTCTGAACACAGCTGTTTTATGAAGGAAGCTGAGGTTTCCACTGGGTGGGGTCCCTGTTTCAGAGGCTTGTAAGCATGATGGGGAAGAATAAGTTTCTCCTTTCACTAGCTATCTGAAGCTGGCATATGGGTTGAAGAAAGTGCTGAGGTTTTGACCATGGACTTGGCAGGTTGATGGTGGTGAAGCAGAGGAATAATTCTTGTTCACTTCTGTGTACTATTTTGATTTCTATAATCATCTCAAAGGAGAGAATCTCCTGGTGAAACCTGAGCTGACCTTGGGCTGCATTGGAACCCAAAATGGCTAAAACAGCTTCCATGAAGAGCAAAGAGGTTTGACATGAAGTACATGAAGGAAAGGAAATAGTGTTGTGTTAGTCTAGAACAGGTCCTTACAGAAGAGACTGAAATAAAGATGTACACATGTGTGCACACGTACAAATTGTCAAACACATGCATGCATGTATGTGCACGCACGCGCATGCTCACTCACACACACACACGCACACACACACACATGCACACACACACTCCTAGTTCTCATTTGTGCTTGAGGAAAAAGATTTCCTTGCTTTGACCCCCACGTTGTAAGAAGAGACCAGAGTACAGAGTATAGAGATGACTTATGGTGAATACAACTATTACAAAGATTTTAGGATTCCAGGAGGTAGAAATCTTTGAGGGTGGTGTATTCATAGTTTGGAAAGAAAGGGAGCCCTTCATCTCTGCTCCCACAGTCCCCTGAAACAGAAAAGCTGGTCCCTCATTTTCAGGTTTCCAATTGACTTAAGAGAATCATCCAGGTGGAGTTGGCAGGGTGACAGGGAATGTAATGGAAGATAGAATGTAATGTAATTACTATATAATTAATTATATATAATTACTATATAATATAAATGTAATGGAATACTAATTTTCCAAATATTCACTGTGTCCCAGATGGATCCGCCTCTGAAGTAAGATAAAGTGGTATGTGTGGGAAAGAGAAAGACCAAAAATGAATAAGTGCTATTTATAATTCCATGTCCCCAAACATCTCAACTAGTCTAATTTTAATCACTTGATAGGTATGTGAAAGAAGACCAATATAGCCAAGTTTGCTATCATGAGTAGATATTTATTGAGCACCAAAAGAATACCAGAGCACTAGATTCACAGTTCAGAAGCATACTTAATCCTAGCATGTTACACAAAAAGGCATTTGGCCCTGAAGAAAGGGAAGTGATCTTGGACACAACTGGTCCCCTGAGCTGGCAAAGGAGAAAGCTGAGTTTCTCTCTGGTCTTCTGGTGGCAAGAGGCCAAAGCTGAGTGGTGTTTGGAGGCATGATGACGACATCTTAGTGCTATCGGAACTTCCTTTTGGTGTTTGAAGAGAAGAAGCAGAGAAAGGGATAATAGAAGGGTCTAAGATCTGACCCAGCAGTAGGCTTGCTTGAAGTGCATATGGTAACTTCTTAGGCAAAGTCAGTCACTCTTAGAACCTCAGGGAGGAAAGTCCCATTAGGCTATCCAGGAAGAGAAGTACAAGGGAAGGCAGATATGCAGAAAGCAGGGGGTAAATAGCCAATTATGTCAGCAGACCATAGCTTAGCAGCCACTCTTGTCCTTGGTTGTCAAAAGCTCATAATCTGGAGGAACTGTGTGCAACAGGCGAGCATAGTCACCATTGACCTGGGCAATGATCTGTTGCTCCTGGCCCAGGCAGGGATCGTCAGAGTAGTCATTGTCCGGAGTCTGGGAAGATGGCTCTTCACTGGAGCAGGCACTTGTGAAAATGGCCACTCTCCAGGTTTCACCAGAATCGCTGGCCTCCCTGGCATGTGCCCTGTGGCCCAAGATCCCACCACACATAAAGAGGGATTTGAGATTGGGAATCTAGTTTCCCACACTTCTGCCCCAATTCTTGCCAACTGACCCTTAGGCTCTTGTTACAAAGGATTCTGGGAACAGGAGAATGTAGGACCTGGATTATCCTGTGTCATCTGTGGGCCAAGACCTCTGGAAGTGCTTCAGAGAGGGAAGAAAGCTGTTCTTTGACTCTGAAGGTCTCTGGGCTTAGAAATGGGTTTGACCCAACCCCTCTTTCCTCCATGCTAGTGACAAACAGAATGAAGGCAGGGAAGGGGTCAGAAGATGGAAAAGCAGAGGAAATCTTACCTGGCCACTTCATAGACATGCTCTAGAAAAGAAGGAAAAATCAAGTCATAAGTCTCTATGAGGAGTGGACAAGGGCCAAAAATGGACACTGGTTACCAGTCAAAGGATGAGGGAAGGAGATACAGAAAGGGAGACCTCAATTGGGAGGTCTTGGGAAGATAAAATTAAACACAGGGATACAGATTTCTCAAAGAAAGGAATTTTGCCAAAGATCCCCAGGGATATTTTTGTGGAAACTTGGTGGCCAGGCCAGAGTCCAGGCAGAAGGGGTTAAATTAGTCTCTCAAGGACCATGGCCTGAGCCATTTCCAAATGTACTCATCTCCACTCTGCACCCGGGAAAAATCCTGAAATAAGTCACCGTTGTGCCCTAGTGTCTGTGGAGAACTGTCTACATTCTGTGCGGGCTTAAAGGCTCTATAACCTGATACAAAGATGGATGGTACTGCCCTCTAAGAGTTTATAATCTTTCAAGAATGCAACTGGGAATGCATGCTTTCAAACACAAGAAGGAAAACAGAGTATGCCACAGACCTTCTGCTTTGTGATACAGTCTTGTGTTTCCATGTCTTACCTGCCCCATAGGCCTGATAGCTCCCATACCACAGGTGTTGTGTTGATTTCATTTTCATATGCCCACACCTAGCACATAGTAGGCACATGTTTGTTTTTAAATACAGCTTATTGTCAATTTTTTTCCATAAACCCCTAGCACTCATCCCAACAAGAGTAGGCACAAGTTAAATTGAATTGGTGGCCCAAGGTTATCTCCCCTATAGAGATAAAAAACAAAAATTCTGGAAGTCAATCTAGGAAGGAAAAAGCATTAAGACATTAGGTATATGTGACATATTTGCCTGTTTGAGTCCAGTGATTAG